AATTGAATATTTTTGTCAAAATGGTATCAAATCAAAACAAAAACCACAAAAATTCTGCCTAATTTAAAATAAAACAATGGCCATAATGTACCCCAGGAGTGGACTAAACTGAAACCTGCAATTCTAAATTAAACATTCTAAGAATACTGTGTGGTATATTCTACAGAGAAAATAGTCACGTTAATTTAACTTCTCTTGATGCCCTAGGAAACACCTACAACATAAATGTTGTAAATAGGTAAATAAACTGTTAATCATCTCTGAGCAGTTCATATATACTAGGATGCTCTCAGAATTCCTGCATCTAAGGACATGAAAGACTGAACAATGTACATTATCACTGATGATAATACTGTGACATTAATAGTGAGGCATTAAAAATGGCAATAAAAGATAAATACAAAATTTCTAAAGAAATATTCAACAACAAAATCATTACCTGGCCTGGAACAATAGTGTGTGTGAAAAGTTTATTCAGTTCCACTAATTTATTGGGAGTGATGTTAAACTTCAGTGCTATGGAGTTTAGGGTATCCTGGCTTCCAGCCTAGAATAAGCCAACAAACAAGATTCAGTATATAAAGCAAAGCAAAACAAAACTTCCTGTTGACAGACAACATTAATCTATTTGTGATACGAATGAATAAAAAAGCAATACATATATCTAGTTGTATCATGAAATACAGTGAATACATTCACAATTCTTAAGGAATCATGTTTTAAATGTTTTTCATTTCTGGGCTCCTTTATTTTCAATTTCANAAAAAAAAAAAATTGTATCATGACCAAATCTGCACTGACCTTACACTTACTTGGTGTGGGTGTGTGTCCCCTTTTTCCTTTACTCCCCTCGAATAATCAGTTCTCTCCCGTCCTTCCACCTCTGTTATAAGACCCATCTGAATGGGGTACACAAGGCTGGCAGCACAAGGCCTTCAACATCTTGTCTAAAAGGAAAGATGATACCCTTGGCATCCAAATGAGGGGGATTTGGAGAGGCAAAAATTGTCTGGGTCTCTTTAGATCTTTCTAAGAAAGGTGCACCCTGATTTCTAAACAGGACAGTCTGTTTCCAACGACAGGTATATCCCATATACTGGGGAACTGATAGTTTGGCTTTGACAGTTTGATGACATTAACCATAAAATCAGGTCATGTGTCACCTGCCTTATGTCACCAAACATCATTCTGATCATAATTTGATTTGGGGAGTCAAATGAGCTGGGTTCGGCTAGCAGCCCTGAGGCATTCTCACAGCTGTGTGATGTGAAGCAAGTTACTTGAAATCTTTGTGCCTCCATGTCCTTATCGGTAAAATGAAGAACTATCTCATAATGTTGTTCAAAAGATTAAATGAGATGTTGGACACAGTGTTTATCTCAGAGCCTGGCTCAGAGTATGTGCTTAACAAATGCTATTAGTACAAGTAACAATGCAGTAAACATAAGTAAATCTCCATCTGAACACAGTAAGGTGTTAAAACAATTATATACCATAAGCAAAAAGGATTTATTCCATAAATACAGGAGTGATATAACATTAACATGATAGATGTTTTGTTTAAAGGAGAAAAATCATATCTGATCACTTTGATACATGCTTAAAAAAAACATTTGATGAAATTAAGCAGGCATTGTATTTTTTAAAAAGAACAAAATAAAAAAAACAAAACTGTTAGACAACTAAGAATAGGAGTGAACTTCCCTTAACACAATGAAAAACTTTTACTTACTCTTTGATATTCATTAGAAATATGCTTCTGAAAAAGGGAGCCCTAAAGGATGTATATCAGAAGCAATTTTCTGTGGGAATGAAAACTGAATGGCTTCATGATGTCATTTCCAGGGGCACAGTTGCTCGTTAATTCCCTAAAAGCAGCCTGAACTAAGGCACTAGTGAGGCCCCCGCCCTAGCTTTGCAGAAGATTCCAGGGTGTGCAGTGGGAGAGACACCCATAGGCACTGCTCGGGCTTTACCCCACTCCTTTTATTCCTATTGTTCTGTGGAAGCCAAGTGCCTGAGAGCAATTCCAGGAAAGCTTTTAAGACTTCTGGGCATAAAATCTGCCACTCCACTGAATTACAACAGAGACTAATCTAATGTAATGCAAGGATAAACCACAAGTATTTCAGGTCATAAAAATAAACTTTGTAGTGGAGACAGGACAGCAGAAACACTACAAACATAATGGAGACAGTTTGGAATCCCCGAGTCTGAAGAGGGAATCCCAGCCATTCATAGGCGGTCGTCTTTCACAGCACACCAAGGCCACACCTGTGCAGGGTGCACTATAGATGTCCCCTTGTCCATCAATGGTTTCTTTAGAAATTAAGCACTACTCTAAACTCTCCTAAAGCATACCTGTATAAACTCAGATGAGCCCTTATATCAGAAACCACAAGCAAATATTAAAAGTAAAACACAAACCAATATAAATACAAGAATTCCTATGATCACGGTTTAAACTTAACTTTGTTCTAGAATCTCTAGTCAAAGCAACAGATAAGAAGAGTTTTAAATACTGAAAAGAAATGAAAATTTGATTATTAGCAGATGAATTGTCTAAAGAACCAACATCATAAAAAAAATCCAGAAATTATCACATTGTTCAGTAAGGTGGCTAGACATAGTATTTTACACTTAACAATAGCAATATTTTCAAAAAAAGTCCCAGGCACACTGTTATCAAACTAGAAAATATCTAAGAATAAATATAACAAGATGATGGCAAGATACATATAAAGAAAATTTGAAGGTTTACTGAAGTATATGAATGTTAGATTGAATAAGGGGAGGTACATATAATGTTCCTAAATAGGAAATCTCATTTTTGTAAATATTTCACTTTCTCTTAATGTTTAAATTAAATGCAATTTCAAATCAAATTTTTATTTTTTAATTTGGAAAAGGGAAACATGCCAAATCGAAAACCAGGTTTATCTAGAAATATAAATACATAAGACTATACAAAAAGAAAATTTTTTAAAGAGAAATGAGGGTAGCACCACTGTACTGATATTAAAATACATGATTACTGAGGTATAGCAATTAAAAGCTTGTGGTGAAATAACTGAAAATCAGAGCTGAAGAAAGTTAGTGTAAAATAAAAGTGGCTTTATAAACTAGTAAGAAAAGTCTGGCTTTTCCCATAAATGTCATGTAACTTCACGTTAGAAGGGAGGCTTTGGCAGTAGACAGAATGAATGAGACTCCTGGTCTGCCCTTAGCTCACTGAGTGACCTTGGACAAGAAAAGTTACTTATGAAAGACAGTTTCCCAGTGTGTAAAATGGGAATACCAGCTGGACATCTCCAGCGAGTTCCTGTCAGGATTAACTAAGGCAATTCTTTTCGGGTCAAGCACTCCGCAGTGTGAGAACTAAGAACTCAGGAAACCTTAAGGATTATTATTAAGTGATGCTGGGTAAACACTGGCTAAGATTTGGAGAAAAATCTAGATCACTCTCAAATCAATGTGGATGGATTCAATATTTAATGGTAAAAAATAAAGTCATAAGTGTCTTTGAAGAAAATATAGAACTTGTATTTGCTTAAAGAAATAACGTCTTCTCTATCAGTGATGCACACATCTCAAATTAATAGCCTGACTTTGTCAAGGGTGCGTCTAAAATATTCAATATTATTATTTAGCATTTTAAGGGAAATTTCTGGAATACTATAAACTGTTACAGTAAAATTTTTTAAAGTGTGTCATGAGGAGTTTCCATCTCCTGAGCATGGAGAGGGAGGGGACATGGGGAAAAATTAACTCTGTACTCAATGTGAACTCCATTGTTTTATCATCTGTTGACATAAAGGAAAATGTCAAGCAGTAGAAGTTATTTTCCTTCCTTTGAGCACATCACCGGCAATATAATCCTTCACTAGAATGAGTCACATTTAAGTAAAATCTATACTGCAAGAAGGGCAGGTGAGTTATCTGTCATGGAATGCTTTACCTCAGAGCCCAGTACCACCCTCAGCACTGAGCAGGCCCTCAAGTATTTGTGAAATGAATGGACTCTTCTCACTCTGCATCTGAGGAAACAGATTATTTCAGTTGTGCTGTCAGCTTCTGACTTATATTAGTCATAAAACCAAGGAGTATTTTGAATATAACTATGTATATGACCAGGTCAAGTAGTTAAGCCCAGAGAGAAATTTCAACCTCATCTTCATTCAAATTATAGCTCAGGGGAAATGAAACTCTACATATGGTCAAATTTTTCTTCCTTACTAAGAAACAACATGTTCTTGGGGCAGTGGAGAAGACATTAAAATTTTATTTAATGTTTGCCTTATTTTTCTCTCAGAGTTGATTCCAGGAAAGAAGAATGATGGACGATGGCTTCACTCAGGCTTTGGGGCCAGAGAGCTGGGCTTGAATCCCCGCCTCATGGTGATCTGTAGTGGGGTCTTCCTGAGTCACTCAGCTTCTAGGTTTTTTCATTTGTAATATAGGCCACTACCACCTGCAGTACACCATGATGAGTAGTAGATTCAATCGTGAAATAAAGCATCTAGCCCATAGGAGACACTCTTCCAAAATAGGTTCTTTCTGTTCTTCTTCAGGCCTGATGTTGCTTCTCTTTTCCTACTCTCTTTCCCAGTCTCAAAGCTCATTCAAAATGGCTGTTTTCTTTTTATAAATAGATCGAGGACCTAACTGGGTAAGTTTCAATGTTAGAAAAAAATATAGAAAATATAAAGACCCTTTCTACACAAATCAAAACAATATGTGGTCATTTAAACATACAGTTGAACAAAAAAAAGAAAATACCAATCACCCACCTTACCTCAGAGAAAACTAATGTTTGCAATCTGGTGACTTTAGTTCCAGCAGCAATCCATCCCCCGATTTGTATGCACGGAGTTATTTTTCTAAACAAAAAATGGAATCACATTGCCATCCTGCTTGTCTACTGTAACTATATTTTGTGAAAATTTCTCATTGTTTTTCTACATCATTTAATAATGGCACATAGTGTTTCATTTTATGTGATTTATGTTATTTTGATTCTCCCACTATTTCAAACACTGCAATGATAGCCACTATAGTTAAATCTTCTCTCATGCTCATGACTGTTTTCTTAGGGAGCATCTCTGCAAACAGAATTGTTGAGGCAAAGGGTATGCAAAAGATAAGGCTCTTGAGAACAATGGCCAAACTGCCTTCCAAAAAGATTTGACCGCGTGACTCTCCCACCATCAATGTTTTAGACTGTTTTTCCTGTGCACCTTCCCCAGTTCACTTCTAATTTGATTTTTCAAAATCACTTAACCTGAAAAATCACTGACCATTTATTTAGTGTAATCTATTGTCCTTCCCTCAGCCCAAACCACATTTGGGCATTTCTCTTTCAGTGAGACTTTTCATAATAAGACTGTGATATAACAGGACAGATTAGCGAATAAGATTTGCATTATGCAAACAACTATAATTATAATGGGACTAGGCTCTGAGCTCAAGCATCTAGTATAACAGGTTTTTTTAGACATGGCTGTTTGGTTCAGTGGCTGTACTTTTTGTTCTAGCAATGACAAGAAATTATTACAATATACTTTGTTATTAATGGGAGTGCTGGAGTCGTGAGAAGAAATGGAAGGAGCATCCCTTGAGTGAAAGCTGGTGCCGTCACAACCAGGCCACCAGGGGCAGGGGGCGGGAGAAATGGGGAGATATTTGTCAAAGAGTACAAACTTCCAGTTACCAGATGAATAAGTTCTGAGGATCTAATATACAGCATGGTGATCATAGTTAATAATACTGTAATATATACTTGAAAGTTGCTAAGAGAGTAGCTCTTAGATGTCCTCACCACAAAAAAGGAATGGTAGTTACGTGAGCCGAGGGAGGTGTTAGCTAAAGCTGTGGTGGTCATCATTTTGCAATACGCGTGCAAGAGCGTGCATCAAATCAACACACTGTAAACCTTAAACGTACGCAGTGTTATGTCAATTATATCTCAACATAGCTGGAAAGAAAGAATTATGGTGCCTTTTTATGCTCATGTTTATAGCCATATTTACAATAATTATGTATTTTTAATTTTATGTTAAGTTAGTTGCAACACTCACGACCAATTCTTTTATAAAAATGACATTTTCATTCGTGAGGCCTGGATTTTGGCATGTCTCAGAAAGGAACAGCTCTCTCCCTCTCAGTCGCTTTGTTTCAGGAAATGGTATGACACTAAAGGCATGTTTCCTAAGACCTTGTATGTCTGAGAAGGTCCTGATGCCTTTGAGCCTAAAAAACAACTTTCACTTCACAACTCTGAAAACGATTTAATTCCTCTGCTGTTCACTGCTGTGGAGAAGTCTCTGCCTGACTCTCTTCTTTGCTCCTTTGTAGGTAAAGGGTTTTTTTTTTTTTCATCATTTATCCATGCCTGTAAACATTTGCCAGTTTATCTAAGTGCTTGAGTTTTTCCCTTAATTCTGCCTAGATATGGTGAGTTCTTTTGATTTCTAAAGTAAGGTATGAGTTTCAGCTCAAGAAAGCATTCTTCTTATATTATGGCGGACTACTGCTTCCCTTCCCACTGTTCTGACCTCTTCACTAAGAACAACTTTTATTCTTAGACTCTTCATTCAAGCCTCTCATATCCGTCATCTTCTCTCATCACTTGCATTTCTTCTGCAACATTTCTGTACATCTTGGGGGAACTCACTAAGTTTGTCCTGTTCACCACCTAGGTTTTCATGGTATGGCTACACTTAAACATTATTAAGACTTCCCTGATGGTCCCCAAAAGCCCAAACCTAATTATTTCCATACTAATAATTTCAATTTATTTTACACCCAAACCCCTGAAGTCTTTATATTCTGTTTGATCATTATTTCTGAATAGAAGAACAATACTATTATATGTTTGTGGCTTGACATACTTTTATGTTTAGGAAATAATTTATCAAAATTACATAACTTTGGTTTCCTGAACTTGTTATGTGAAACAAAGAAAAATGACAGATAGGAAATTGTGATATTGTGATTCAGATTTGGTCATTCAGATGACCAAAATATATTTCTCATGTATATTTGGCCTTCATCCACAATTGCTGACTCACAGCTCCCCAAAGCCTTAAAATTTCCTTAGTGTTGAGAATGATTAATGTGTCTTTTGTTATGTTAATAAGGTGACTTTTGGAAAACCCCTAGGGATGATGGCAGCTTGTTGCCAGTGGAACCAACCCTATGGTAGAGGGTTGGAACTTTCAGCCCACTGCCGGACCTCCAGAGAGGGGACAGAGGTTGGAGGGTGAATCAATCCCCAATGGCCAATGATTTAAGCAGTCACGACTTTATAATGAAGCCTCCATAAAAATCCAAGAGGTTAGGGTTTGGGGAACTTCCAGGTTGGTGAACACAAGGCAGGGTCACACCTGGAGAGGGCCTAGAAGCTCTGCATACCTTGACAGCCCTGTGCATCTGTTCCAAATGTCTGTTCCTTTCATAATAAACTGGTAATCTAGTAAGTAACATCTTTCTGTGAGTTCTGTGAGTCAGTCTAGCAAGTGCATCAAACCCAAGGAGGGGGGAGTCGAAACCTCTGATTTACAGCCAATGGCCACACATTTTTAGAACAGGCACCATTTTGTTACATTGAGGCAATTCTAGTGACTCCATCTTTTAATAACATCTTAACTGTTGTGTCCCTCTAAGTGTCAGAAAATAGCAATCAATTATTACCCAAGACTTACATGGTACACAGATAAATCACAAGTAAAAACATTACTTTATCAAAGTATGCTTCCTTTGATCAGATTGGTAATGTTATAAATGTGAAAATAGTTACAGAAAGTATTTTCTTTTATATTGATTATAGAACTGTACATTTGTCTTAACATTGTTTTTGCAAAGCCCTTGGGTTTACTCTATTATTCAGTTCTCTATATTTTCTGATTAATATTAAAACTAGCTATAAAACATGTAATATGCAAAAAAAAAAAAGAAAAGAAAAGCCAACTCTCCCTTGCAATTTCTGTACCCAGAGAAAACAGTTGTCAACATACTGTTATAGATCCTTCTAGTTTGTTTCTCTACAAATTTATTATCATTTGTTATCCATTAACTTTTTGTTTGGACTCTGTATTATCTGGATGACTTCTTTTACACTAATGCATTTACCTCTTATCTGAAAAGTAGCAATTTCCAGGCCTTTTCCCCTGACATCTAGGCTCCTCTAGGCTAATCCACTTGGCACCTCAAAAACATCTCAATACAAATTCATTATCTTCTTTTCTCCTTCCTGAGTTTTCTAGATTGAAAATTCTTGACTGCTCTTTTTCTCCCTCACACACTACATTTAGTCACTAAACACTGCCGTTTCTCTGAGCAAAATCTCTCCTCAGGGTGCCCTATCTCATCTGCCCAGTTGCCCACCAGCAGCTCACTTTCACCCACTGTCCTTAGATTTATCTTAAAACAAAGAGTTAACAGAGTTCCCCCACTGACTACAGGATAAATTCCAAATCCTTATTGCCGCAGACTGGATCCTCCCATTTTGGTGACTTCTCCCCAGACTAGAGCCACGGAAAGCAGTTGCCTGGGCAAGTACCCTTCACTTGGTTTCATGCTCCACCTAGTGGTACAGAACAACATCCTAGGATAGGAATCCAGGAATACACCGTCAGCCCTGTGAGATCTAGCAAAACTGCCAAGATGGGTTTGTCTGCTAGAGTCAGATGTGAAAAAGGAACAAGGAACCCTGGAATTCAAAGGCCCACCTAGTAGTTTTACCTACGTAAGCACTGGGTTCTCCTAAGGAAATGCCCCAAACCTCTGACCATTGGCTATCATTGCCATTCTTGAGAGAAGATGAAAAGCTATGATGGCATAATAAAATCACAGGCTAATTCTGACCCAACTATTGTACTGTCACCTATATATATATCCTTCCAGAATTTCCATGAAACTCAAACAAATCAAAACAGTCTTCATTCATCTGTGGATTAATTTATCCACTCAGTGCACATCTGAAGAGCACCTATAGTGCTATAGATATTACGTAAAGCTAATAATACAGGGTTCAAGTCACAACAGCCTATAAATACACAAGCAGATAAATAAATCCATGATGACAATGAAGAAGGGAAGTCTAACCTGGGCAGGGATGGGGGGCTTCGTGGAAGAAATGATGCTTGTGCTGATTTTGTGAAGTCAAGTAAGAGTGAGGTAAAGAGTAGAGTAAAGGGTATTGTTTCAGACTCAGAGCATTACACATGCACCAGAAGCACCACATTAAAAAGCTATCCCAATGCAGCACCCACAGTGAGTATAGCATCACCACTAAAAAGAAACCTCAGTGGATATGACCATCAGTCTCCTTTAGGGGAAGCCTACAGAGCTAAATGTTTCCACTTTAAAATACTTCTTAAGCAACAGCATTTAAAGTAAGATGGAAAAAGACAATATTTTAAACTGCACAACTATACAAACCACACATGTTCAAATGTCCAATGTGTACAAGTCACACGTAAAACAAGATGTACAGTGCAATTTTCCTTAATCCTCTTCCTCTTTTTGGAAATAAGGGATCACACTCAACACTTTAAATTTTAAGAGGAAGTTTATTAATCGCACAGAAGTGTCTTTCAATAGGTTGACAGTTTCAGCTTTTTATAAAACAGTGAATGGCTTGAGAGGGAAAGTGTCCATTAAGCTATGTAATACACAATATAATCACACTAGCCCTCTGGATTGCTAGAAATCACACGCTTTCTGCTAGATACCTCATCTGCCTCTGTTGGAGCAATGTCAGCAAAGCCGCGCTTATTACCACCCCTATGGCAGCCCATTTTATCTTTGATGAGCGCTGTTAAGTTATATTAAATATGGAGGCAAAAATCGGTCTCCTGGTAACTTTAACCAGGACCCAAGTTTGAGGCCCTCTGGAGGAAGTGTCTTCTACAAGGCCATGATTCATGTGCTGTATTGCAGCATGTTCTCAGAGACCCCTCCGTCTTCTCTCTCTTAGCCTAGCAACCGTGAGTATACTGTAACCTGTATACCAAATCGAGTTTTGATTCATGGTTCCCTTTCTTTGCATTCTCTTTTGAACATACTCCGGGCCTGCATGTGACGGGAGCCGTAGGTGTGAGATGTATGATCCAAGTAAAGCAAGCTTATCACTTCCATCTTGCTATAATAGATATGCCACTTCTGCTAATGCAGTTTCAGATGCAATGACTATTCTGAGAAACTATAGAACACTAGACTCATTTTAAGATTCCCCTTCACTAAAACTCCCAAGTTGTCTTTCCCTGCAGATGCTAGGCCATATCTCCATCCATTTTCTGCTGCCTAGCTGATGCCACCGGTGCAGACATTTCTATAAATACTGTTATAGATATGCCTATATAAATTAAGAAAAATGTTTCTCCCACAGGAAGAGTGACCTTTCATTTGATAAATATTTATTAGCACACACTACCTGCAAGGTACTGTGATAGATGCTGGGAATACAAAGTTGAACGAGACACGCCAACATTATTTCATTTTCATCCCTTTACACAAGATTATGTATATAAAGCAAGGGCCACTGGCTCATAATAGCTGCTCAATAAACTTACTGTTATGATGATCAGTTACAAATTACAGTCTTAAAAATTACTACAGATTTTAAAAATAAAAGTTATATAATATTGCCAATACTCACCAATACTATAATATCTCTTTAGTTCTGTACGTCTGATCTCCTTCAACTGATTATTTTTTCTCTTTTTTTTCTCATCAGTAATATATTCCTCTTCCACAGCATTGCTGCACTTGTCTTGTTCTAAAATGACTGTATTAGTATCTTCTTTTCCAGTGTGAGTCCTTGTAGCTATAGCTGAGGCTGTCTCTACATTTTGTTTGGCTTGTTTTTTCTTTTTCAATCTAGAATGAGAACAAAAAAGGGCAAAATGTTGGAGAAATGATTTGTCAGGAGTTATATTAAATTCATGCTGTTTGGCTTTGAGAAATCAATTAACTGATATAGAAAATACTTTCTTTATATTATTGTTAACTACATTTTCCTGTTATATTTTTCTTTCCTAATCATTTAAAAATTCTTTCATGGAGACCTGTGGCCTTTCCTCAATTTTATATCCTCACCACTAATGTCCGAGAAAATTTATGGGAAATGCTCTAGACCTGAGGAAAATCTATAGGCTATTAAATGTTGAGTATTTTCTGTCAAGATATAGTTACCCAAATATATTGACATGTTTAAAGTGTTACTTTTTTTTTTTTAACTGTTTCTGGTTTTCAGTGGTACCTTTGGACTGCTGGGCAAACACATCTGTAAAAACAAATCCTTTATAATTGGCTCACACGCTGAGTATAAAGGTTTGGCAAGGTGTGAACTGGTTTAGGTCTAAGTAACTATTTTCCTTTACACGAATGACAGTAGTACTGAAGAAAGGGCTGTATTTCCTGAGGCAGAAGATGCTATGATGACAATAGATGGTTATCATAGGATTAGTAATAACTGACACATTAGCTAACATATTTGATGTTTTCAATTCTGTATTCCTGAGTCAAAGATGTGTAAGAGACTAAATTTATCATAATTCACTGGAATTCAGTAACTCAAAATATTTTCCAATTGATGTATCACTCTAATTAATCGACATGTCACTCTGAGCTTACTAGTCCTTAAGAATTTTACCATACCAGAATGTGAAAAAAAAGGACTTGGCCTCTACTGTGTGTGGTCTGCTCATATGTAAGTATTTCTTAGGATTCCTTTGCCCCCTTCCTATCTAGGCACAGTCAGCTTTCTCTATCACATGTCTATTTCCTTTGCTTTTTTGAGCATCTTTACAATTTGATGTTGGACAATGATAAGAAAATGTTTGGGAAGGAAAATAACAGTAGGGTAATATAGGAACTAAGGTTTACTTTTATACTGCTTTGCTCTGTGATGTTGGACAAATCAATTTAACAGTCTCGAGAGGCCCCTCGCTGAGGCTTAGCTACCTAACAGGGTCTTTTATTAGGATCAATTGAGATAATATGTGTCAACATAGAACACAAATGAACAGAAATAGCAAAATATCCCCTAATACAATCATATAATGACATGAGAGCTAAACATGTAAAGTATATAATACTTTCAACTTTTGAAATAAACGTCTCATATTCTAACAAAATATTTTAACTAGGCTGTCATTCATTGAACTGAGCAGCCAAGTTCTTAGACTTTCATTGTCTAATAAATGACATATGGTCCTAGAAGAAAGGATAGCTAGAAAAAAAACCATAGATGAATCTACTCCCCATCTCTTAGTTTAACTATCTTTTTATGTTTACTTGTTAAAAAAAAACAAAGCAAACAAAACCACAAATCAAGCAAAATTGGAGACTCACAGAAAGGAATTATATTAGTAAACACATTTTATTTTCTATCCTCAAATTTTAAAGTTTTTTTTTTTCTGGTAAAAGAGTAGGTGGCTCTTTGCAAAATTGAGTCAGATAATGCTCCTAATAAAACAATTTCTCTCTCGATCAAGATTTCTGTATGAGGCTGAAATTAATATGCAGTAACCTAGATTGCATACAGATCAGCTCTTTACTTAGGAAGGTTTATGCAAAGTGCAGATTTCTGTATCCCAAAGGATGCGCTGATCTCATTCTGATATATTGGCTTATCAAAAAACACACTAGAGATGAACCTTACTGCCCACTTCCAAAAATTATTCCTTCTTGGAGAATAAAGATACATCAAAAATGAGTTCTATGCTCCCTGAGATATGTTGCTTCTTAATCTTCTAAATTTTTCTATTTTAAGTTGACTTGAATGTCCTCATTTCACTGTCCCCACGATAATTAAACTCACTCGGAACTAGGGCACATGTTTTGATGAATAGCAGCACTGTTTGGGGACATCTCATTAGGGACTGGTTTTCACATGTGGAAATAACAAAATGGAATAAATCGTTGTATTCATTTTCCCATTTTTCCACACAGACCCATTATTGTCGATGCATATAGCCAAACATAGTTACTTCAGAAAAAAATGCTAGAAAATAGCAATACCTAACTCATTTCACAGAAAACAGAGTACAATTTAATACTTCACTAATTTTACAATCAGCTACATCTTTTGTTTTGAATAGAGTACTCACGAGAATTTGTTTCTCTGGAGGTTATCAACAAAACTGGGACATTCTGATCCTAAAACTGCACATCAAAGGTGAGTTCTAGAAGCCCACTGTAAAATCCTTCCTCCAAAGCATGGAAATACATTTTTAACACCTTTTCTAAGAGAGAACGACTGCCAGTCTGATGAATGTGGCATATAGTTCATGCTCTTGGAACATTCAGTTTTAAGGGCTTTTTATTTTTTAGGCCTTCTCTTTTGTTCTTCAAGTCAATATATATGTCATGGTTAAGACATTCTCACAATAGGGTTTTGTTATCACTAAATTAAGGTAAACTGAGAACAAAAGGTTATACAAGAAAATAAACTCCCCTTATTTCACTTAAGCTTTTTTAATGACCCCAAATGTTCGCTCATTTATATTGGGGACTAAAGAAAACAAACAAAAAAAACACTTGGCAAATCATCTTAAACAGATGAGTAGTTGTAAATAATGAGACATGTTTAACATTTGACTGCGGTGAATACAAGTCCAAAAAAATCCACCTTTATTTTGTGATGCTGCATTTATCTTCTTTAAAAGAGATCACAATTACATAAAGCAAGTGCTTATTGGTCAATCTCCTCTCACTATTGTAACCAAGCCCTGTCAATTCTATTTCCTAAATCTCTCCCTCTCAAATTCACCTTCTCTTCTTGAGCTCTACTCTTGTCAAATCATTTTAGGCTTTCACCATGTCTCTAACTGGACTATTCTTTACAATATAACATCATTCTTTGCATTATTATGGACATGATACATGTTCATACTAGAAAATTTTGAAAATGTAAAAGAGGAAAAAGAATGAAACAAATCAAATAAAATGCTACTATTAAGAAGCAATCACTCTTTTAAGGAAAGAATGTAAAAGCCAGAAGATAGGGAAAGTACACTATTGAGACCTTCCCCAAGGGCAGAAAAATGAGGCAGTAACGGCTCATCCTGATTCTGAGCCTCTTAATTCTACCTTCCCATAAAGGAATATTAAAGGGCTTATTCTGGAATCTCTTGGCTTTCTTACATTAACATTGTGTGTACTTGTAGGGACACACACATACTTCACTTTCCCCCCTACTAGTATCCCAACCCAGAGTTAGCTGACTGAAGAAATAAATAAGGTGATAATGCTAAAGAAAGCATTTTTAGTAGCGGAATGAACTGTTTTCCTCTGAAGCTTTTTCCTTCACTAAAAGAAATTTTACAGCAGCAACCAATGCCAGGGCCTTGAGCCAGTTCCTTTCTTTGTCTCTGCAGAGGTCTCTTCTGTTCCTCGCTGATATCTAGTGGAACGCAACACAAAACGGCACCAAATGATGAGAGGAGGCTTTCATTAGCACAGTCAAAGCTTCATGAAAGTAGGGAATTGTCTAGGTTTTGTTACACACCGTACTCCCAGGGACTATGCATGATACACATTTCCGCACTCAATAAATATTTCTTGAATAAATGAATAGATAAATGAGGCTATGCTCTAATTTGGCTGAGATCTGCTGTCGTAGCCAGTGCTCTCCTACTAATACGCCATTTTGCAGCTTTCTCTGAGTAGCGGCATTGTTCTCAAAAATAAACTCCCATCACCTTCTCACTTAGAAATTTATTTAAAGAGAAAATCAATTAGCCACATGTCACTAAAAATGTATTAAACTATAGACTTCTTTAATTAATATTAAATTAGTGATTCTATATGACTCCTTTCCTTAATTCCACCGTTTGAAGTCCACATGTTTCTGTAGAAAGTGCCACAGACATAAATACCTAGCATGGCATTTTCCAATATGGTGGCTACTTACTAGCCAGCCACCTGTGCTTATTAAATTTAATGAAAATTAAACAGAAATGTTAAATTCAGTTCTTCAGTTGCAAGAGGCATACATTTCAAGAGCTCAACAGACTGATTTCCTAGTGCGTCCTGTACTGGACAACACACGTAACAGAATACTTCCACTATCACAGAAAGGACGAGACAGTCCCGACCTAGAGCTACTGATTCAACAGTTAGCCCTACTATCACCAGACGAGAGAGGGAAGGGTGAAGATAGAGATCATTTAATATTTAAAACTCACTGAGTATATGCATAGAATATGTCTACAAGGTACACAAAAAAATGTGTTTCCAGCAAGTCAAAGCTAGTAGCTGGGGGGAAAGAGAGTAAAAAAAAATACTTTTCACTGTGTACTTTCTTGTACCTTTTGGATTTTATAGTATGTATAATAGTAAAAAAAATAATTTTTAAGTATTTAGTCTTTGAAGTCTCCTTCCTACTATAATAATTTAGCTTGACAAATTTTAGAAATTGAGCTTTACTTTTTAAAAGAGATTATGAAAAGTTTGGAAGAACTTTCTTCTAAACAGCAACTACTCTGTGTTGGCCCCAGGCTGAGGTGCTGTGCTATGTACTTTACAAATATTACCCTAGCCTCACAAAAGCCCAACAAGGTAGGAAATCTTATCTCCATGTTACAGATAAGAAAGGGAAAAGGCTGAGCCAAATTAGGGCCATTTCCTAAAGTCACAGGGCATAGTTAAGTTGTGGAGCAGGAATTCACAACAAAGTTTAAGCCAATGGCCACAGGGCCTCCTAGGACTTCTCCTAAATGTGTCCTATGGCCTCGTATATACGTATATCTTGACTTTACACTAAAATCCCCTGGACTTTGGGAATACTATGAACTATTTAGGGGAGAAGGACCTGGCAATCTAGTGGGTTTCAATGGAGAGCCCGCTCACAGGAAGGAAAGATTGAGGTTTTG